AGAAAAAGAAAAACAGATAAAAATATTCGCAAAATAAATAAATATTTCATATCGAAGAAAACAAGAAGAAAGAAAGAAAGAAAGAAAGAAAACGGTTCAATTAACTTATTCTCAACTCTCCTCAACTCTGATGCTCCTCCATTATCCTCCGAAACCCGGCATAAACGATCATCCACCGTTAAATTCGGGTCAAGGAGGTGAATCGAGATCGGCCACGTCCCAATAATCCGTGCTTTCTAATTCTCATCGAAACATTCCTATTGGCAACACTCATCGATAAAGAGGAACGCATCTTCCTTTTGTCCCCTTCACCACCACCACCACACACAATTCCTCGATACAATTTTTTTCTTTAATCCGCCTCGTTTCCCTTCCAATCCTGTCTCGGCGGACATCGTTACAGAGCCCCCTCCTCGATCTTCCAATTATTTCACTTGTTCCACGACGACAAAGCTCCTCGGTGTCAATTAAGGCCTTAACGAATTCGTTACTTATCCCACGTCGTTCCGTTTTCTTTTTTTATTCATTTTTATTGGATACATATATACATATATAGTGGTACAATCTTGCAGAGAATGAAGAGTGTAAAAATAAATAAGGGAAAAAGGGGAAATGGAATTTTTGGAAAATTTTAAATACATGTGAATTATAAAATGCAAAAAGTATAGGTTTCTTAAAAATTAAAAAAAGGGAAAAATAAACAATAAAATTTTCCATATTTTTTGTTCATTTTAGACATTTAAACATTTGTCTATAATTTATTTTATGTATCCAATTTTATTTGTTAAATTTTCAAACTTGATTTACTCTAAAAACGAAACTTCAAAACTGAAAAAAAATTTATTATTTCTTTTCGATTCATTGTTCCATATGGTACACTCTATATATATATATCTTGGTTTTGAATAGAGAGGCGATGTAAGAAACGATGACCCAGTTTCAAGATTGGTTTAATTGGCGAAATCTCGAAAACAGTGATTTATCGATACAAGATTCATATCTAATTTCGTTAACTTCTTCTACTCGAATTTTTCTTTCTCGATTTCGAGGACCATGCCATGATTTTCAAGTATGAATTTTAAAATAAGAAGTCTGTGAGAAAATAAAGCTAGAGACCAATATTTTTGAAATATCGATATTCGTTATAGAATTCATATAAGAAGAATGATTCGTAGTTGAATAAAAGAAGATCTTGTTAATCCAATCCATTGGAAAGATTTGTGTTAAGGTTAAACAAAATTTATTACCTATTAAAGATAATATCTTTTTTGTTTTCAAATTGATCATAAAATTTTGTCTTCCTTCGAGAACGAAATTTTGTACATCATTTAAATTTTATTGATCGATAACAATCCAGTTAATTAATTAAACTCGAGAATCTGCTCGATTCGACAATTTGAGTCACATCGATATCCTAAGAATAATTGATAGTTCTAGTTCGAAATAAACTTTACCCTCGCCCCAAAGCTTTGTTAAGGTGACCAAGAGCTTGGTCCACGATAAGTCCTACTTCGAGGTGGCCTGGCTTGCCCCTAATTCCTCCGAAGAGATATTAATTCGCCAATTATCGGGGAAACGTAGCCAATAATAAACTCTCTCTATTCAAATTATAGATTAGAGGAAGACGCACGATATTAAGAATGATCACGCGTGAAAATAATTTTATCAATCTTGAAATTAATCTTTTAAATATTCTTTTCAAACTCAATGAAATTATCCCTGTAACTATTGATTATAAATTATTATTAAAAATATTTTATTAGATATTATTAGATTTTTCATTGATAAATTATAAACTAAACCAGCATTTTAACTTTAACTTACAGACAATATTATTGAATTTGTCCATCAATAAAAACGTAAAAACTTTCATAAATGATAATTTGGTCATTTTATCTGCAATTTAAACGCATACAACCTCTCTCATCCTTGACAAATTAACACAATTACACCATTATTACTACAATTATATCTTCTCCAACTTTCTAAAACTTCAAATCTATTTCTTCCAAATTATTCGTTCATCTTAAGATCGTTGAATTCAACTTTTAAAACACAAAAAACAAGCAAACCTAATACTAAAACTATTGTCGCGCAAGATTAGCACGTAGAAAGAAAGCTCGACTTGCAGCGTCGACAAATTGATCTTCCTTTAGGAGCGAGAAAAGGAAAACCGTGTAAGAAAGGGAAGGGAAGAGGACGAAAAAGGTCACCGCGGGAGGGGAGGGATCGACGTAATCAAGAGGGCGCACGATCCGAGGAAGGGAAGGGAGAGAGGAAGAGGAATAGCCATTCGGCCCATCTGGCCCGTCCACGAAATTAAAAGTCCTCTCGCACGTGTTCCAGGCACGTGGCCCCTCTTAGCCGCGCGCGCTGTGACGTGCTTTGATGCCGGACCACCGCAGTCCACCCTCACGTTGCTCTCTACGTGGACGATGCTAATCCCACCCTCCCCTCCCCGTCGATAACCTCCACTGAATTTTAATGCGAATATTTACCGACCGGGTGAACTGCATTAGGTAGGGCAGTCTGTTAAATCGGCCAAACCTTTTCGTGATTGTATTAGGAATACAACAACTTGTGTTTCGCCTGTTTTCGAGAGGATTGTATTTTATATATATATATAAGTTTTTGGGATAGCGTTTGAGAATGAAATAACCGTGATTGGCTTGATTTAGGTAGATGATTATTGTGTGAGAGTTAACGATTTAGATTGTTTTCTTCAGTCAATTTTCGATTGTCCATGGAGGAAAGAGCTGTTAGAAATGATGCTTGACGAGAGGCGCATTTAACCTTAAGAAATATGCTCCCCTTAAAATGATAGAAGATTGACAAAATATTCAGTTTTCTTTATTCCTTCCCTCAACCGCATTAAACAATATTATTGAATGTTGATTTATTGAACTGAATATTCAATGTTTCTGTAGAGAGGAAGGATGTTATATATCATACATTTTCTAAACCCTCTCTTCTCACAGTTTACATTCAACATTCTTGCTATCCCAAAACGTTTCCATTCCCCAAGATTACCCCAGAAATCAACATCAGATTGTTCCTCATTACAACCCTCCCCAACAGGCAATCCAATTGAAATTACCTTTGACTGCGAGGCTGAAGTTACCAGCCAACTCTAGACACCCGAATCGCTCATTCTCGCAACACAATCCTCCAACGCAAATCCCCTTCCAAATCGCGCCAAGACAAAGTGATTCCCCCTCGATTCAATCCTCGTGGATACTCATCAACGAGGGCCCAATTAACATTTCCAATATTCGTCGATTTCTCTAATCTCGAAAATTCTCCTTCTCCCCCCCTCGATTCCTTGGAAAAAAGAAAAAGAAGAAAGAGAAGAAAATCGTTACAAACTCGATCGAAGATCGGTAATATCGGCAAGGTATGAATTACGCTTGCACGGGTGGTACGTGACGTAATTGCGCCGAAAGAGTTTTCTGGACTCGAGGTTTATCGGCTCGTTAAATCGAATTTATCGGATTCATCGTTTGATTCGGCATCGCGCACGTGCCCCCTCCTATTTACATAAACCGATAACCGATTTTAGCTCGCGCGCTCGAGGCTGAGGAATTTAATAAACGGCGTTCTCGTTTCACGCCCTCGTTACCTATATTTCGTCTACGATCTCGAGTTCGAGCGAGGGGTGAATTGGTGGCGGTGGCGTGTTTCTTAGAAGTGCATCTTTCTCTTTTTCTTGAGAGGCTTTCCTTTTAGATTGTATTTTTTACAAAGCGAGATTGGTTGAACATGATTTGAAAATTTTTTTCGGTCTTGGCGAAACTTGAGTCAATCTATAATTAAAATAGTGATTGTGGTTAATGAAGACTCGAGGCGAGGATTAATGAATTGAGATTAAATAATGAAAATTTGATAAAAAAAAAAAAAGGAGAGATCGTGAGTGAAATTGGTCCTCCATAAATTGAGTAAAGTAATTGGTAAATAAGACGGGAGACTCGACGATGCTTTACTGAAAATTGATCAAAATTATAAAATCATAAATTCACAGCGAATAAAAATTGAAGAGAGAGAGAAAAAAAGAAATTACGAATGGAATATTAAATACAGCTGACCATGACACTTACCTCGATCGTCATCATTCCTCGAGATCTTCCACTTTTCCTCTACTATAACGGGTGTGCATAGAAATAATCAAACTAGCGGTCGAATTGTATTTCGTATGGTAATTTATTACAATTTGTACAGATTACAAATCGGTACCTATGGTGTCGCGTTCCTCGTTAGACATCTTAAAAGGAGCGGATATTGAGCAGAACGCCGTTCGTCGCTGCGCTAACGTTATTCGTACTCGGTTAATATTAATTTACCCCTGTATGTATATCTATATATCCTCGACTCGCTCTCTGAATGAACACTGGGGTTTGATAAACGAATTCGAATGAAATCGAATCGAAAGAAGAAAAAATCACCGAAAAAAAATAAGTAAATAAATGGATAAGTAATGAAATTTGAACGAGAGATGATCAACAATCATCGTAAAAAGAAAAAAAAAAAAAAAAAATCAACCAGAAGCCAGAGCAATAACGATCGATGAGCGTAATTGTTTTTTTTTCTCTATTTTCTTTATTTCTTTCTTTTTTTTTTTTTTTTTATACGCAGGGGCGTGCATTTGCGTTACAGGAGGTTACGATAACATTTTCGTCTCCTAAGAGGATTCACCCTGTTCTCCCCTCGAATTTAACCACCTCGAGTTCTTATCCTTCATCCATCATTTTTTTTTCTTTTTTTCTTTCTTTCTTAGTGTCAGATATTTCGAGAAAATTTCAGCCACGAAATAACTCGTTTCACTTCGTCTGTTATCACTCATGAATGTCTTCATATAACTTATAAAGACACTTAATTTTATCAATATGAAATTTATAAATTTATATACCTTAAAAGTTATGGAAATAAATTATTGCCAAGTAGATTTGACGAAATATATAATTTACACATTTACTATTATTCGTTTTTATCCAATTATCCGTTTCGAATAATTGAATATTTCTTTAAGGAGCTCGTCTTTTCTTACAATTTTTTTTTATTGCATCGATAAATAATAGTATTATTATACAATTATTATTATTATTATTTTTTTAATAAAAATAGCCTTTTTATAGGTTCTACGAAAACTTTCGTGAGTGACTTTATACGTCACAACGACGATCTCCTTTGGGAAATAGAACTAAGACTCTCTGTCTCTCCACGAGATGTCGCGTCCGAGTTACGTACGCGTAGCTACATATAAGGTGTCCATTACTTTACTTTAAAAGCATACCAGCGATGCTCCACGTACACGTCGCGTACACGTCTCTAGTGCGAGATCTCACAGATAATGCGCCTAAAGCTGTATTCTCACTGAACTCTCTCGCTTCTTCTCTTGAAAAGGCTCAAGTATGTACAAGTGCGGAATACATAAAAGTTTTTTTTAATATTCGATTCCTAAAACGAATAATTATTTCTATACAAATCTAACCTTACTCAAAGATCAAAAAATATAAATTACACGTCTCGAAGAAAAGAAAAGAAACTTTAACCAAGGGTAAGAAGAACGAAACGAAACAAAAATCGTTTTATCGGTGAGGACACAGCTTAAAGTCCTCGTGCGTAGACAAGCAACACAGCATCGTTGCGATCTTGCAGAGATGTCGATCGCATGATCGACATTCTATCTATGCTTCCTAACCATGTGCGATTCACCCAAATCTCGCCATTTATTAAAAATACAAAAAATGTCGAATTAACTGCAGGATCACAAGGACATCGTGTTGTTCTGAGCTTAATCACTTACGTAATCACTCGCGAAAAAAAAAAAGAACGAAATCGATACTTCCTTACTCGATACTCTTCTCGATCTCCCGCTTAACACACAGGCCCACTCGTGAATAAAAATCAATTGTTATTCGAGCTATCTACTCCATACATAGTAACATACATAACTGGAAGCCCTAGACTACTAGGTTTTACATGGACGATGTTTCTTTTTTTTTATTTTCTCCATCTTCTTTTTCTTCTTCTTTCCTTCCTTCCTTTTTTTCCTTTCTTCCTTTCCCTCTTTCTTTCTTGTTTTTAATTGAGTCAGGCAGTGAGTATAGTGGTATATTGGCGTACGAGCTACCTGTTGGCAGGTGTAGTTTTGGATGTGGCTGTATGCGTCACGGTTATTGTCATTGAAGGGTAAAGAAGAAACAAGATGGCAGATAGAGTGAACATCATCGTCATGGCAGTCCAGGTTAAGCATGGGCTCGCGGAACCGCCGCTGTCTGCGAACGAAAAAGAAAATGATGTTGGATTAATATTTGGATTTTAAATATTTGTTTTATTTTTAGTTGAGAATTTTAAATATATATATATATTTAAATTAGTAATTTGTCCTTCTCTTCCTCTTCTTTCTAATATTTTATTTTTATTTTTTTAATTTTTTAAAGAATATGATTGTGAATGTGAAAAGAGGAAATTTATTATGTGTTGTTAAATTAAGTGTTTGAATTGTTTTATTTTAACTGAGGATTGGATTCAAGGTAAAAGAGAATAGAAATTTCTTTCTTCCAACTTTCTTCTTCTACTTTCCTTAACGTTGCTTTTATTTATTTAAACTTTATCCTAGCATTGATATTCCCATTCAGGATGTAGTTGTAAAAAAGTAATTTTCTCTCCTCTTTCTTTTCCTCTCATTTTCTATTTAATAGAGTTACTTGCTTCAAATCTTATCCCGCCAGTTTTTATTTAGCTTTCTTCTATTTGAACAGAATTTAATCATAAAAATGGAAATGATCATAAAGGAAAATTAGTAATTTTTTTAAATATCGTGCAAGATATTTCCTTTTTCTCCTAACTCTTCCAAAAAATCTTCTGGTTCCGATCTCGTAATAATTAGAAAATGTGAAAAAAAAAAAAAAAAGACAAACTCCAAAATCCATTTTTTCCTTCTCTTTACTTCTTTCGTCCAATGAAAAAAATTTTCTCTTCATTTTAAACTCTACGTTTACTTCATCGAGAATTTTCTTAATAATAAAAAAAAATATCGTTCAAAATATATTATTCATCCATAAATTTCGCATCCATCGATAATTATATACCTTTACCTTTTCAATTTCTATTATAACTTGACCACGCTTAAAACAGTTTCCACGATTGACACATCGTAAACCCTCTCCTTCTGCCTGTGATCGAACACGAGATTTCCGATAATCTGGATACAGTTGGGGCGCAAGATTGCAGTCTAGATTTCCCGGGAGGGGTAAGGAAATGTCTGAAATGTCTCGGCATTTAATACTATCCCCCTCCGTCGTCAGAGTGAATGCAAATTCAAGATGCCATTCGAGATACATTTATTTCTTCTTCATCCGGTAAACTTGTTTCTTGGCACGAACGATCGAGTCGGTTGAAGTTTCATCAATCGATGGATGGAATTTCCTGCCCTTTTATTTCTCTCTTCCTTCCCTCTCCCCTCCGACAGAAACGTCAAATTTCACGATATTCGCGATTATCGAACGAGTTAAAGCGACGAGTTGAGGAAGCAATTGGTATTGCTCGATCGAATTTCATTGAATGGAAATTGTTGAAATTGCGGGATAAAGCTCGTTTCATGGACAACAGCTCGTCAATGAACGGGATTCGTCCGATTCGTGAGGAATTTTTGTTTCACTTTCGAATTATTATTGAATGAATATTTTATAATTATTTTATGTAAATATGTATATATAAATACATAAGAAGAAGAAGAAGAGATTCGTCTTCCCGCGACTCGATTAAATTTTCATCTCGATAGGGGGATGAAACAGAGTCGAAGCGTTCTTTATCGTATCCCTTCTCGTTTCTTCTGTCGATATTTCAAAATCACCGTCTCATAATATTTTCCTTCCCAAGAAATATATTATTCAACTTTGCTTTTGCGCGAAAAACTTAAAGAAAACTTAATTCAAAATGTAAAAATATTGATTATAATTTGAAACATTTCCAAATTCCTCCTAAACAAAATCGATATATATATATATATATTTAAATATCGAAAGAGATATTAATTTCAAGACACCTGGGGGACGTCACCTAGCTAACCCCATATCGAAAATCCATTGGCCGCAACTTGCGGAAACTGTGCGCGAGTATTAATCAACCCTCCCTCCGCTCCATCGTCCGGCATGTTACCCTGTGACCCTGTGATCCGTAAACCAGATCCTCTCCACTCCAATTAAAAAGCTCAACACATACACACACACACACACACACACACACACATATATACATAGGTACACATGCACGAGCCTCGCGTTGTCCCCTTTCTTAATTACAACCGAATAAAAAAGAATCCAAAAGGAGAGAAACAAGTGGGCAGCGGAGAAAGAGGAAAAACAAAGAGTTAAGAGTAAGTAGCTACGAGGCGCGTAGATAGTCCAGCTCGTTATTTCCGGGCGAAAAATGTAGAGTCTGACGCTTCCGGCGTGGTTCCGTTGCCAAGTCCCCTGGACCCAAGTTTCTGTTGTAAACTTGGTGCCTCCACTTTTAACCCTTAATCCTAAATTATTTGCCAAAGGGCCGGTACCCGCTTCCGTTCCAAGGAGAGAATCGCTTCCCCCTCCTTCACCCCCTCTTTGTTTCTTTTCCTTTTCTTTTTTTTTTTTTTTTTCGTCCCGCGATAAATCGAGAACAATTCGTTCGAACGGGTTACCTAAAAAGAGGATACCAATTAGAGGTTACGGGGTCAATTGGAACTCGCTTATATCGAGCTTGTTTGAAAAAAGGAAAAAACGTTCGAATTTTTCCGCTCAAAGCGCTCGGCCAATAAGTGAGAGACGTTTCTTGGAGGATTTTTTTTTTATATTCCCTCCTCTCCTCGTTATGGATTTAATCTTTCGTCGGATGAATAGTGTAATTTTTTGAAGTTTGTCCACCTACCCTGTTATCGTTCCCCTCGTCAAAGCTACTCCTTCGCTTTGGAAAAGTTTTAAGAATACGAATTATACGGTTATTAGATGGTTAAACTGTGCTCGTGGGAAGGGATTTTTCTTTTTTTGTTATTTCTTCAATTAACGAGGAATCTTGGAAGTTTGGAGAGAGAAAAGAATGTTTTTGAATCTTTCTTTGCTGGAGATTAAAATAAATTAATTAAAGTACAAATGCACGATGTAAGAAGGATTAAATGTAGAGAAAGAATTGATATAGATTATTTTTCTCAATAAATTACAAATATCTTTGGTTCCTTTAATTCAATGTGTGATAAGAAGAGAAAGGGTTGATCAGAGACGTTATACATCGAATTGTAATTTTTTTGTTTTTTATATTGTAGAATGTAATTAATTAAATTTTCACGCGTGCAAAAAAATTAAGAAAAATCACGACTGAGAAAAGGAATAAATGGGCAAGTAAAGTGCGCAATATTAACGAACGATGGTATAACACGATGGAAAAACAATGCTATCGTGCATTTGTATATCAACAATAAGAAATTATCAGAAATTATTCTGTTTGGATCATTACGATAAAATCTATCTCCAGACATAAATAAACAAATCTGTAACGAGAACAGACAAACTGATAACGTGGAATAAACAGATAAAACGAAACAAAATGTGAATAAGAGAGATTCGAGTAAGCAACAAGAACGAGAACGTAATAAACGATTCAAAATTATTCAAAATTATTCTTCTCTTTATACGAATATATTTCGAGAACTGAAACTCGTGATTGAGATACATAAAAATTCGCTTTAAAGAGCAAGATTACACTCTTTTAACGATCTTTCACTCGTTCACATCGGAAGTCACTTTGTCTAATTTTGATCGAGTTTTCAACGAGTGTTAAATATATTTATTTCTCATTTACAACGATAATCGTAAAATGCAAACGACACGTATATAGAAATCCACAATTACAAAATAAATATAAAAATTTTCTCAAATCCAAATGAAATATCAATTGCAAAATAACACGCGAAAAATTTCTTGTCGCGAGAAATAATTCACGGTTTCGATAAATTGCATTATTTATCGGCCATTATTCAAGATTGTCTTCTATCCGACACGGGGAGGCCAGGTAATTTGCTTTTTCCACGAGCTGCTGGCTCGCTCCCCTATCTCGTCGTGGATCTTCTGTTACGTTTCTTCCTATTCCTTGAAAATTTAATCGCCGCGACCGCGTCGTCTCTAATGCGATTCTCAAACCACACCCCTCCTCCAACCCCTTTTCGGTAACGAAATCTCTGCGAGACAAACTGCGGCTTAAAAAACGGGTCCGGCAACGAACGTGGTTCCGTGCCAAGATCGCCTTTCGTGCCCTGTACTTCAGAATCAATTTCTGGGAATTTAACGCGAATCCTGGAAATATTCAAAAAAACATGGAAATTGAAATTGGCTTTCAGGGTGATTAATTATTATTTCTCTGAACGGAACGTGAAACGTTTAATCCTTTGGAATTGTCAACTCTTTGTTTTATGAACGTACAGCTAAGATAATTTTAGATGTTACATTATTTATTATATATTATATTATTATTGTTAAATGTTGGCTATATATTTTTTAAATCGAAACAAAAATTCTTAAAGAATTAAAATTTCAGCAATTTTATCACGTGCATTTACTTGTTCTTATATACACTTACTTATTCGAAATTTCTTCTACACTTTTAAAAAAAAAAATCATTACAATGTTTTCATAAGCTTATTGTCCATTACACTCGTAATGGACATTCTAAGAAACCTCTCCTCTTCTTCATCAAAGAGGAAACATGATTATTTTTTCCATCCAAAAGAATTCCATTTCCCCCCCAAAATCTCGCGTATCAGGTAACAATTTAAACTGCGAACCATTCCCTCCCTCTCCCCCCTTACTCTCTGTTAATAATTATTCCGCTGGTCGAATATCGTTTACATGCAAACGGGCATTTACTATCAAGCGTTATTACCGTCGAAATTACGCAGTGGCCGTGCACCGTGAAATATTATGCACGTACGATCGCATCATTTGCTAGAAAATGACTTCTATCCCCCCATTTTCCATCATTCACGTTCCATCGTGAAAAAAAGGGGTGGGACGAATTAGTGTGCAATTTGTTCGTTGTAATTGTGTATGGGAAATAATCTTCTTCTTTGAGTATCGTTTAATATTTCTCTCTGGATCAATTTGCTTCTTCTTCTTCTTCTTCTTCTTATTCTGCAAAGCGGCAGTTTTTACTTTGGACTACTCTCGCTCGCAACTTTCCCCTTGGGGGAAACGTTCGGAGAAGATTTATGGAAGTTCATGAAGAAGTTTTTGAATTAATTGCGAGTTATATATTTTTGCAAGTTTCATCCGTTTATGGTTATTAAAGGCTGAACAATTGTAAACACGGTTAATGTGATGGAAGTAAGTCGGGTTGTCGAAAGATTCGAAGGGAAAGAAAGGAGTGATTAAATCTGAATTCGATCACTTTCTTCGAAAAAAGAACAGAAAACAAATTTCTCTTCGAATCTTATTCTCAAAACTTTCGAATTAAATGAATTTCCCTGTGTGTAAAACATAACGTTGAAATAATCCCCTTTCCTAACTCTCTTTATCTCCGATTCCTTACTTAAAATAAAATTCCCCTTTCTTTACGAGCAAATATTTGAGAAAGGAGAATACAAATTTAAATCGATCGAGAAATTACCATCCTTCTTCCATTTTATACACCCTTTCCAATTCTTTTTCACGGCAATACCGTGAAAGCTTTATTAGCCCTTTCTATCCACACCGGAAACGGGCCCACGATAAAGGGCGGCTGCGAGCGAAATATCCGGCCGTTTCATAAAGTACTAGAATCGCACGGTTTGTCCAGGTAGGCGGGTCAACTGTTTCCGTAATGAACGAGAGAAAAAACGAAACAGGAGGAGGAGGAGGAGGAGGAGGAGGTTCGATCGATATTCGATTAATTGGATTTGGCTAGCCTCGCTCGCGACTCCTCTTTTCCTTCTTCCTCCTCATTCTTCCCTCCTTTTTCTCCCCTCCTCCTCCCCGTTTTAGCAGTTTTTTCAGGCTGTTGCCTGTCGACGCTCGCACTATCCAACGCTTCACCCTCATCTTTTGATCCTCGCGGCGAGTAATATGCCGAACTATGGCGGATGATTGACGGGGAATGGATGGTTCCAAAGCATTCTGGGAACTTGTTTCTCGCGAATTCTCGATCGATAAAATTGAATTGGATTTGGAGATTTTTCGAGGAGGGAGAGAGGAGGTTTTTTTCTCCCTCTTTTTTTTAAGAGAGTTTTCTGGATCACGGGGTTGCAAAGTGACTGAAGTGAAATCTTCGAACGAGCGTTTTGAAGGATGAGCAAGAATATATGATTGAACACGATTATGAACACGGATTTTTACGAATTTTTACGAGAGAAATCGTTGAAAAGATTGTTCTTTGCTTGGGAAAAATTTTTGAAGTAAATAATGGAAAGTGTAGTTTGAAGCGAAGTTTATATATTTTAGCAATGTAAAGGGATATGAATCTTTATAATTTTTTTGTATATCACAATCTTTCAATTGATGATAATTAATTTTGAAAAGAATTTCATTTACAACGGTATTATTTTGAAAGAAAAGATGAATTTCTTTTAGTTTAGGATATATTACATAAATTTATAAATCAACTTTACTATCTTTAAAAGATTAGAAAAAAATGTTACAAGAAGAGCTATAAAAAATAATGAAATCCAGAAAGAAAGCTAATTTATTCAAATATTTGCCAATATAAAAAAAAAAATTCTCTATCACTACATAGAACCGAATCGATATCAATAATCCCCAAATAAACAATGTAACAAACAATGTCGAATAAAAGAAAGGGAGGATAGAATTTCTAGGTTCAGGAATTTAATATACAATATACAATTGTCAAGGCTCGTAACAGATGGATAGATTTTTGATAAAATCGTGGCGAATCATTATCAGTTCCCTTTGAACTGAAAGTTAATTAAAAAAGAATCGTATCCCTTTTATTCGAGTTAATTGGAAATCGATTAAAGGATCAACCGANTTCTTTTAGCTTAGGATATATTACATAAATTTATAAATCAACTTTACTATCTTTAAAAGATTAGAAAAAAATGTTACAAGAAGAGCTATAAAAAAATAATGAAATCCAGAAAGAAAGGTAATTTATTCAAATATTTGCCAATATAAAAAAAAAAAATTCTCTATCACTACATAGAACCGAATCGATATCAATAATCCCTAAATAAACAATGTAACAAACAATGTCGAATAAAAGAAAGGGAGGATAGAATTTCTAGGTTCAGGAATTTAATATACAATATACAATTGTCAAGGCTCGTAACAGATGGATAGATTTTTGATAAAATCGTGGCGAATCATTATCAGTTCCCTTTGAACTGAGAGTTAATTAAAAAAGAATCGTATCCCTTTTATTCGAGTTAATTGGAAATCGATTAAAGGATCAACCGATGCTGACGTATGGCCGAATTTTATTTCGACCTCGAGGATCAATTAAAAAGCTTTTCTTTCCCCTCCAATCTAGAGAACTAATTAAAAGATTTTTCTGACGTATCTCGAATATACAACGTATACAATAAAAACGACGTTTCGAATATTATGTTTGGAACGAAAAAAAATTTTTCTCCCAAGTAGCGATAGTCGAAGAGAATTAATTAAAGACTTTGCTAGATATCTTTCTCTTTCGACTAATAGAAAGTTAATGAAGAGCTTCTAATATTTTCATTTTTCTTTTTTTTTTTTTTATTTTTTATTCTGGGGTAATTTCAAGTTAATTGAGGAGCTTTTAATATTCATCTTCACAAATTTTTGCTTCTTAAAACGCTACATTTCCAATTTGATTTTTCATTAAATTCGTATTTTAATTTTCTGTTTCCTTCCTTTTCTCACGAACTTTTTCCTCCGAGAGTCGTCGTATAACTTCGTGATAGAATATACGTGATATCATACTCGATTTACAACGACTACGTGAATTAAAATTAATCACCCAGACGCGTTGGCAAACGTTCTTTTTATGGGTGACCGAAACCTCGTAAACGAGGCTCTTGTATAATGAACAACAGCCATTTTACTCCTTGCGAGAGGCAACCATTATTCGATGTTGATCCTGATGAGAGTTTATATCCGAGATGGTAAGAAAGGTTAAAAGTAGTGTACATATACTTGGCTTCATAATTGAAAAATTTTTTAAGAATAAAAAAAAAAGAAGGATACTTACTTTTTTTAATAGAAGAATGAAGAATTTTTCATATTTGAAAGAAAACTGAGTATAAAATTTATATGAAAAATTATAATTCATATTTCTTTCTTCAGGAATTTGTTCGAGAAATAATGAGAATCGTACTTTTTTGTAATTGTAACAAATTTTACAGATTCCATGATTATATCGTTTTTGAAATAATATTTTTGTTAATCTTGATCATCGTTCCGATGATTTCGGCTATTGTCGTTCATTTTCGGAGGCTGTCGTGACTTACCGCCCGATGATTGCCGAGAATCGACGATTATTTACGATTCGCTGTCACGCGACAGAGAAAATATTGCGCATTCTGGATACAACTCTCTACGTCTCAAATTTAACAAATTGATTGAAAGTGCTCTATTTGATTGAAAGTGCTCGATAAAATGTACTAATTAAAACTTAAAATTGTGAATTCTGGAAATTATTTGGATAAGAAGTTAGTTTTAAAGAAAAATCGTTGGATAAATGTAAGTAAGTAATTTTTTTTCTTTCTCTTTTATATTCTTTCGTCTTCTCTTTCTGGGTTCGCGGAATGAAGAAAGAAAGAAGCTATTTAAAAATAGCAGTTTGTTTGGATCTTAATAAGCTTGCTTCTATTTTCTCGAAACGTTCCTGTAACGAGCCGGATTGGATTATCTTAATTTCCGGGAATGAACGTTTTCTGCCGTGTTCTGCGCTCTTCTAATAACACCATTTCGCTTTTTACACGCATCTGTTTAAATATTCGGCGGCTAACGATGCGGTGGCCATTTAATTCCTACGTTCAAGAATATTCTTTGCACGTAGTATTTTAATAAACTGAGTGAACGAAGGTAAAACTTAAGACGAAAAGAGGATGGAAAAGATTTTCATTTTCAAACTTTTCTTACTTGTGTTAGGAAGCAAAAAAAAAAAAAAAAAAAAAAAAAAATTAAAAGTAATTGAATTTCTGCGTCTCTTAAAAGATACACCATTTTGAAGATTAGTTTAAATTCTTATTATTCCTTGTTATAATATTTGACCTCATTTTTTAATTCCTTATTTTCCTCCTTATATTTTCTTCCTCACTTTTATCTTGAAATCGTTATATAGAATGGATTCTAAACAATTTTTTAAAACTATACTACACTCTTCTCTATTGAAAAAATACTGTAAATGTTAAAAATCCTCGATAATAAAGATAACGCTTCTTTAAATTATCACTTTACAATTCTAAGTTGATAAACAAGCTACTAGTCTCGATGTATACGAGTAATAACAATCAAAGTGACGAGAGATGATCCAACTTTCGCGCGAAAAATCTCCCCTTCACGAAAGAGACAAATTGTTGCGCGGAAAAGAACGGGGGGAAAAATCTGTTGCGGAAGGATCGAATCCACGAATCGTTCCACCCGTGGAATGCCCGTCGATTCGATTCTAATCGTGTTCCACGCCTTCGAACGAGTGCCGAGCCGAAAGATCGAGCTTTACGAGCCCACGGTTTTACGAGCTCGCTCGGTTTTCCAAGCGTATTCGCATCACGATCCGGTTGCACGTCATCGAATGATCGCGGTCGAGCGTTAACGAGGTCGATTTTACGACCACGAAAGGAGAAACTGTTTCTTTCCCCGGGAAAAATTTCACAGCGGCAGACGGTTGAATAAACGGGATGAAATCTGGACGCGGGAAATTTAGAAATAGATTTTTCACGAGTACGAAGATGTGGATAACGTTCTTGTTTCGTGGAGCTAGCAAATTTTTATCGATGGCGAGGTACTTCAGACTCGTTTTAATGGTAATTTTCTTAAAGAAAAGAGAAGTGGATAGATTCGAGTTTTTTCCAAGATTGAATCGTTTCACAGTTGTTATTATTTGTCTGATATTTCAAAATTATTGATTGTTGTAAAATTCTTCAAAGTTTTGTTTAGTTTTGTTTAACACGTACCAAGATAATTTTTTTCAGGGGGAAAATTGATATAATTTTCCTGTTATTATCGCGAAGAAATGGAATATGAAAATGAGATCGCATGTTTCATCTTTAAACCTTACAATTAGAATTATAGTCGTTTCAGTTTATTAAATTTTTTATTAACTATTATAATATTGCGTTCATTGTTGAAAGAGAAGATTATTATTCGATTGATCAACATTTCAAATATATTTTACAATATACGTATATCGAGTAAATTCTGAAAATCTTCCTGAAATTTATATGGATAATAATCTTCAGTGTGATTAAATTCAACTTGATGGATGCATGTTTAAAATCCTTATTATTTACGCATTTATCGATATCTCGTTTCAAAAATTTATTACATATAGCAAAAGTATAAAGAAAATCGATAAGAATAAATGTAATAAAAGTGAATATTACATGGGCAATATTCAGAAAGGAAGTTATTACTTCACAATGATGCAACATAGATAATCCTTTATTAATCCATTTCTTCATTTATTCATTGATCGTATACAATATTCAAGGGAAAAAATCGTAAGGATAATCCATCTTTCGTAATGGATTATTTGTTATTTCAGTTCTTTTCAATCTAATTATTCATCCATTATTTTCTTAAAGTCAATTAAAAAAATCAATTACTTGATCGATCGTTCGTATATATTATTTCTCAATTTTTATTTCAATTAATTATCTAATTATTTCTATAAAATTTTCCATTGTGTGAGTTAAAATTAATTATTAATAATTAATTAATTATCCACGTTCTTCCATTTCCTTTTTTCTATAATAATTGTCTATCGTTGCTGCAACATCAAAGTTTTCACCCCCTCCACTTTGTATTACATTATTCCAAATTTAATTAATAATTAACCAATTCCATTTCTCTTTTAGACATTTACTATATAAAATCATCCCTCGTTCATCTACAATAACAGCTCATTCTTCGCAACCATCCTCATTCATTTAAATTCAACCGATCCACCCTTATTTTTCCACCCAATTTCTCATAAATCATCAACATCAAATACCTTACTCGAATCCTAGACTCATCCTCCCATCCCTCCCTAAATTTTTCCATTTCTTATATCCTCCACCACTCTAAATCAAATTTATCAATTACTCTCCCATTTCTCTCCACTTTCAATAACTGTCTCCTCATCGACCCTCCCCCCACTTCCCCTTCCCCGCTCATTCTCGTCATCCATTGCTTTAAATTCACCTTCCAAACTTTAATACTACTATAAATCACTACCTAAATACGATTTTCCCTAATCAACACGTCCAAACTTCTCCGCTGAAAGAAGAAATTTCTTCGGATAACAAACGAAATAAATAAACGAAATAAACGATTTTCTTTTCGTCTCCGAATGTTAAATATTTCCCTCGAATTAATCCTGTCCGCGCGGAAGGGAGAGAAACTCGGGGGATGAAAAATGATGGTAACGAGGAGGAATAGCGGAGAGAAAAAGGGAAGAGAGGGAGGGTGAGAAGGTGGTGAGAAGGTCGAACGACGCGGTATTACGGCCCCCATCGGCGGTCGTGGATCATAAAGCAACGGTGGAAAATGGAATAAAGAGCGACACAAGCGAATATAAATATCCGGATGGCGGAATAATTATTAGGGGATAACCGGTGACCGGCCGCCATTCCTTCCGGAGACTAATACTTCCGGGAAGAGGCTTGCCTTTTTAATTATAAGCGTCGCGATATTTCACCGCACCCCGTGAATTATTTCGATTTCGAAGGGGGAGGAGGGGGGTGGATTATTCGATTTTTCGCGTCAGATTTATAATAGACTTTTTTGGAAGTCGTTTTATTTTAGTTAAATCTTTCGAATATATATATATATATTTTTTTTTAAATGTTCAATTTTTATAAATAATAAACTGAATTAAAATCAAACTCCTATTTACACCTTTCACAATTATCGTTCAACGAAGGAAACCCGTAATCACGCCAAGTAACCGCATCTCTTTGTCGCTCATTATCGCACCCTCCACCTCGTTGAATTTCCGCGAGGCTTTGATCGATTCGACGCGTCGTCGACAGGTGTGTATCATTTACACGGGACATCGCGCAGCAGCTCGAAATCAGGCACGTTAATATTCGAAAACGCAATAGAAGAAGAAGAGGAAGAAGGAAGATTAGGGCGAACGAGAAGAAGGAAATAAAGAGGAGTAGAAAAGGTATATAAAGGAAAATCAGGATGAAGGAAGGATAAAATAAAGCGAAATGAAAATAAAACGAAAAAAATACTGCGCAAAGGAAAGAATAAATTGAGGGAAGAAGAAAAGAAGAAGAATGGAATAAATGAGGGAAGAGAGTGCCTCGCGTCTAACTGAGAGGGAAAGTCGTGGAGAAACGAAGTGGGGACGGGGTGAAATGAAGCGAAGAGATGGATAAACACGGAGTGGACTACCTCCAGGTTGTCAAAACGTATTCGCCGGACGGATGGAGCGCATTATATAACGCGATGGCCGATGGATCGCGATGGCCGTTGGAGTCGTGGCAGAGGACACGCCAGAGTTTCCGGTGATTGCAGCCACTGGCTCGAAAACCGGGTGAAACGGGGAGGAACGTGACAGGGATTCGGTGGGCGGGGAGAGAACAGGGGGTTGACCGACGTCCATCAACGGTTCTCCATCCACAGCGCGCCTACCATCCTGTTGTCCACCCTTGTTCCCTGTTCATAACAATTTCGATAGCCGAGTAATAATTGCTTTTTTCGGCGTGAAACAAGTTTTTCCAAAAAATATATTATCCCGGGATGACGATTGCCTCGTTTCCAACGATTGGAGAATCGCATCCTTTCCATGTTTTTTTCTCTCGATTGCGATCCAGAGATCCGCCCTCTTACCGCCTCTTTGTATCCCTTTTTTTCTTCTTTGCCCCAATTTTTTCGATTTCGTTTAATTGTGAAATTATTTTTTTTTTCTCTCACCACTTTATCTCCCCTTTCTATCCGACTCTTTTCCATTTCCCCTCCACCACAATTTCCTTTCTTTCGTTCTTCTTCGATCGAAGCTTTCTGCCACCCCTGCAAAGTCTGGTCAAAGGATTCTACCCCCCCCCCCATCTACTCTTTTGAGCCACGTTTATTTACCTTCCATCCCTTCGTTTCCCACACACGTTCGAAAAAAGAGGAAGAAATAGTCCAGAACAAATCTTCAACCCCTTGTATCTATCGCGAAAAAACTCTCACCTATCAACGTGAGTCGTAAAAATCCAGCCTCGAGCGTCACGTTTCTCGATTCAGAAAGGAAAGAGAATCGATCCTGACTCTTCTCCTCGAACCCTCCTCATAGAAAACCCTCTCTTCTCGCAGTTTCGACACTTTTCGAAAATTCATCTCACCGCCGGATTCCCCCCATCCCCATCGCAATCAAATCGGCCGGCCAATTTTGGCCCGAAATTGTTTCGTTTTGATTGACAGGCGGACAGGTAGATGACCCCGCGCCGCTTCCATCAAAGCGTAGACAGCGTTTCTCGCGCGGATTATTTCGATCGCCAAGTGTCAAAGCGGATAATAGACTGAGAAATTCTTGCTTGTAGAAACGCGCTTGTGACGCCTTGGAACGAGGCGAAGACGTTGGAGATATTGTGGAGAAAGGGGGTGGAAAAGAAAAATTTTGCTGACTCTTTGGTTCGACGAAGGTGTTTTTTCTGCTTGTGGTAACTGTGATTCGTTACTTCTTAATATAATGTTAAATATGAGTCGAGTTTCTTTCCACGATTGAGGGGATGCAGAAGGATGCTAGGATTTGGAAAGGATAAAAATGAATATCTCAGAGTCATCAGTGGATTAATTAAAAGGATTGAGATTATGAAGACGCTCGAATCGAAAGGGGTAACGATCTTTCAGAGATAGAGGAACTTTAGGTTAACGCGATTTCTATACAGAGATAGTTCGTATCGATCCTGTTAGATATCAAGCGCCATAACAAGCGTATCATATCCGTGTCAACGTTCACGAATAACGCGAACTTCGTGAAATCGATACTCAGTCACCAGATATTGTGCCACCAACATATTTTGCCCCCCTCCCCATAATCAACGGAATATCGCTAAAATTTCTCTTCGTTCCTCCTCGAGCATCATTGTCAAAAATCTATCTATCTTTCACGATCGAAGCAAACGCATTGGATTATATTGATACAATATATTCATATTTCTCATTCTCAAATAGAGACAAACTATATATCATATAAGCAATAAGGAATAATTTTTCTTTAACAAGTTTGCATAATTGTAAATTTCTTAACTTTCAAAATTTCCTTTTAAAACACGTCCCACTGCGAAAAGTAAAAAGAAAATAAATTCAAAAAAATCAAAAAAAAAAAAAAAAAAATTCTCACCCCTCTTATTAATCCACAAAACTCTTCCAAGAGAATAAGGGAATAAATTTCCATATTTGCATTTCTCTCTCTTCCTCCTCTCTCGAGGGGGGTGAAAAAGGGTTTCGAATACCTCGCCTCGAGGGGTTGCTCGTAATTCCAGCCCGAAAGAGAAACAATCTCACTTTGGACTTGTAGCCGAGTTACTAATCGAACCAGATACTTCCTCCTCTCCTTTTTTTTCTCACCCCCTCCCCATCTCCTCCGCAGCCACCACTCTCCTTACTATTCCGGGATACCCTCGAAAGTGCAGTCAGAAACTCGACTCGCATTGATAATGCCCCGGCTATATCCCGGCCAATGGCCGAGGGGGAGGGGTTTCTCTGGAGGGAATCTCCATCCAAGGATATGGAGGAGAAAAGAGATCGACCCTTCCCTCGTATGGAAAACGGAAGAAACGGCCGGTCCCCGTTAAGGGGATGAATATTAACCGAGGCCTGTCGCGAACGATCCTGCCTTTGACTTGGAACTTTCGTTTCCAAGAATGGAATATATATATATTCGAATATATATAGATTTGAATTACTTTGTTTTGCTGGAATTTTTAGAGCGGGATTGGAAAAGGAAGCGATCTAAAATTTCAGTGGATGAGAAAATTGTGAAAATTTCGAACAACAACCGTTCCGTAAATTTCCTTCAATTTCCCTTCTAATTCACGAAGAAACCTGTGAATATCGAACTCGTGACTCCCTCATAACGACACCAATTTCACTCTCACCCTTTCGATTAATCTTTTTTTTTTTTTTTTTTCAAGACGAACGATGGAGAGATCCTGGCTTTGTGAATCATTGTTACCGTCCGATCCCATCGAGGAATCTCGGTGAATGGGGGCTGGCTATTCATCGAGGATCACAACGCGATATCAATGGAAGTTGAGGATTTCGAGGAGGGGAGGGGAGAGTAATTCGCTAATGGCATCGAAGGGGAGATGCGCGAACGCAGTCTGGCATTCTTCCGCGTGACGATGCCTTGCGCGGGAAAAGCAACCCTTCATCCCTCGATTCGACTTTATCCAGATATATCAGAGAGGTGTATATATATATATATATACATGTTTCGAGGGAGAATAGTTCGAGATTGTAATTGAAGTTCGTGGTGTCTTCTTGATCTTGGGAAGAGTGTCTCCAGAAATGGCAGACGCGACGCTGTCTGAGTAATACGTGGAATCAAAATTACGAAAATTATATATTTGTCTTATTCTTTTGGTACAATGTTTTTTTTCTTGTACCTGTTTCATTAAAATTTATCTTATTAATATTTCTTCACTCTATTCGAGTTCACTTCGACGATGATTCCTCATAAAACTAGAACAAAAGAATCCATGAATATGAAATTAAATCTCGAATCATAATTAAACATTTGAATGAGTTTCATAAAAATATCGTATAAAGAAAAAAAAAATACACGAGAAAATTCAACAATTAGCTAAATTTTAATCAAGATTTCAGCTACGATTTCGAATCGACGAATTAACTATAAAATATCCTCGAAACAAGCAACCCCGAAAAATAAACAAAAATCCAATCGCAAAATCCTTAGCGAAGCTAAAATCTGAGCTAAAGGATAGAAAAACGTCCAACTCGCTCGAGGCACAAAGGGAAACGAGATTTCCAAAGCTCGATTCCTCGCGCCCTCCATCCACATCAAACGACCTAACGACAGCCACCCCTTCCCAAAGATGCCCCCTTCCTTCTCTCTCCAAACCTTGGAGGAGAAAAAGAAGAAGAGAGGGAGAGGAGGAGCGACGTTTCCTCGGGTGCTCGAAGAGTCCATCCGTGTCTTGGACGGCGCGAAGGGTGGGGAGGGGGTTGCTGGTTCGATTTCCGGCAGACGCGCGAGGGGAGCGTGCGGCGGTCCTTTAACGTGCCGCGTTTACGCTCCCTTTTACCGCGGGGTAATGGTATTGGCAATCTTCTGGCCAGCCGTAGAGGGTTGCGTCGCGACTTTTATCGCGCCACTCCTTGCAATCGCGAGGAGACGCGCGTAAATCAACCGAGACGTGCCCCCTCCCTTTGCAAAGAGCCAGCAACACACTCGTCGCAAAGGGGATGTGGAGCGGATAATACTTTCGAGGGGAGAATTTTTGTTGAGATCGATCAACTAAAAACCATTGGGTTTAATTATTTAATCGAGTTTGATTGATAAAGTTTCATTTGATGAATAAGGAGATGGTCAAGTTGTGTCTATGAATATTTTTATTTATTCAAAGGGGATGTTAATTTAAAGATTGGTCGTATTTTGATATAATATATGGTCAAGTTGATGACCATTATTAGAATGTGTCTATGAATAGTGTTATTTTTATTTATTCGAAGGGGATATTGATATAATATATGGTCAAATTGATGACCATTATTAGAATGTGTCTATAAATATTTTTATTTATTCAAAGGGATATTAATTTAAGGATTGTTCGTATTTTGATATAATATATGGTCAAGTTGATGACCATTATTAGAATGTGTCTATGAATAGTGTTACTTTTATTTATTTAAAGGAGATATTGATGGTCATCAATTTGACCATATATTATATATTATATAGAATGTGTCTATGAATATTTTTATTTATTCAAAGGGGATATTAATTTAAGGATTGTTCGATGTTGACATGATATATGCTTGATGTATATATATATTTGAAAAATTGTAATTTCTTGAATGAGGACGCTTTCGAAAAGAAAAAAGAAAAAAGAAGCCCAATTACGACGTATAGAAATCTCATTTTTCACGAGAGCGTCGCAAAAAGGGGATTCAATTTCTCGAGTAAACGCTAAGGAAAGTTTATTTCAAGGGATGGAAAAGACCGAACGAGAGTCCAGTTGCAAGCAGTTTCAATCCTTAAAGCGTTCAGAATGAACCGTTAATCAAAGAGAGGAAACGAGAGGAACTTGTTAACAGTATACAAGATTGATACCGGTTACTCCGGATTTTATATTAATTATAACGTCGACAGTAAAGTGAAATAAAAAAATTAAAAAAAAAGAAATCGCGAAAGCAGATTCCAGAGAAAATAAATTTGTTTAAACAAGTAAATGGAAATTAATGTTCCATCATTTTTTTAATTACAAGAAGTGTATTAATTATTTTCAGAGAAACATGATTTACGACGATTGCCTTTCAAATTCTGCTTTATATAAATATTCTGTTTCTCAATATAATTATTATTATTATCTCAAACCTTCGATCCATTTTTCTTAATTTCTTCAATTACTTTTCAATTTTCCATTATTTCCACCACCCTCGAACAATTTCGAGCCTCAGGATATTAGAATCGAGATTTCTGGATGAATTCGAAATTTCGACGAGCTAGAGTGAGGATATCTCTAGGATATATTCGGGGATTGGACCGATTGGACGAAGACGTTGCAGAGAAATATGATCCATCGGGCGTCGCGTCAGGCCGGACGTCGCAGATTTCCGTCAGATATTTCTCTCGAGAGCGAACTGTCCGTGACTGCAAAGCGTTATTATACGTACAGGGGATAAACGACGTGATTCATGCTTATTCACGAACGTGACGACGGGTTGGATAACCCGTCTTGGATACGTAATAGAGCAACCATTATTTATTCTCCATCTTCGAATCTCCCTTTGCCGTTGAAATAATTTTTGAAATTATCTCGATCGATCGAAAATCTGTCTGACAAAGTGTGGAAAATTTCTCAATTCTTTTGGAAAATTTGGCAAATAGAGGATATTTATAAAAGTCAGAATTTGAAATAAGATATTATTTCCTTTCAATGGGAAATTCAATGGCAATTAATGGTCTGGTCTCTCTTTGATTTTCAAATTTTTTCAAAAATATAACGCGTTGTTGGATAACTCTTACAATTCTCTGAATGGAAATTAATATTGCTGCAAGGATTTCGCATATGTATATTTTTAATTTCAATTAATTTAAATATATGGAAAATTTTTTCGTCAAAGAAGTTCTGCGCGATATATACATAGAAGAGTAACGAAGAATAATCTACTTTTTTTTTTTTTCCCTCGTATAAAATTATAATCATCAAAGCTTAAAATAATTAGACACGGAATTAGACCACGGTACAATCCACCGTTTTAATTATAATAATTTCACCAAAAAAAAAAAATAAATAAATAAAATAAATGTAGTTTAAAAACGATGATTTGATAAAGCGTGTATCAAGATGAACAAAAAATTGAAATTACATTATAGAAAATTTTAATTCCTCGTTTAAACCATATTTTAATCGCAAAAGCGCAATTCAATTTTTTTTCAAATTTATAAATTTCATCTTTCTTCTCGAAACATCCACGTATAATACGATACACTTTGATACACGTTGTAATTACATTATATACATGAAATTTTATCGACCAAGCCTCGCATTTTCCAGCTTTTTCCCTACCCCTCCGCCCCCCTTCCCTTTTTTTTTACTCGCTCGATGTCGATCACCACCACGGGCCGCAGATTTCTTTTTTCAATTTTAATCCCTCGGCCGATAGCCGCCGAGTCGGTGGAAAAAGAACGAGCAGCCGCACGCCGCCCTTCTGACGAGATATCACCACCCTCCCCCCTCCCCGTGCCGGCAAACCACTGTGAAATTGTCTTCATTAGGCGGTGAAATTCCGCGCGCGTGGAGTTGGATTTTTTTTTGTTTTTTTTTTTTTTTTTGGAAAGGGAGGATGGAGAGGTATGCGGGCCGAGATTGGGGGATTGGAATTTTGAGCGATGGAAATATCGAGAAGGGGTTGTAAATACATTTTCTGTAATTTTTAATGAAAGGTGAGATTAAAGTAATATGGAAATATCGTAACAATAACTTGTATCTTGAAAAATTTGAATCCAAATCCCGTTGTGTTTGAATTTTTTAAACAAAAAAAAAAAAAAAAAGGAGAGGGTGAAAACGTATATGGTAAGATCCAAGGAATCAAAGAAAATTAAAAAAAGAATTCTACGAGAAACGATTTTTATTATTTTGAAACGAGAGAGAACGAAAAAAAACATCACTTGTATAAAAATGCGTGTTATATAATTTTTAAAAAAAGTTTGGGAAAATGAACGAAAGAAAAAAATGCTAGAGAAATTTTACGCGTGTGTGTGTACGGGTTAAATTTTTAATAGGGGAGAAAGGAAAAAAAAAATGAAAAAGAAAGGGGAACGAAGAATGCGGGAGAAGATTAATGAAGAATTTTTAGCGTGGAAAAGTTGAGAAAAGAAGGACGGCAACCGTCTGTAGTATGAAATTTCACACGTGTCGGGTTGAATTTTTAACGACGCGGGGAGGGAGGGTGAGATTATCGGAGAATTTTGATGTTACAAAGGATGAGAGATCGCGAAAAGTAAATTCTGCTACGGCCAGCGTGAAATTTCACACACGTCTGTGGAATTTTTATGACAAGGGGGAGGGAAAAAAGAAAGAGGGAGAAGGTTCCAAGATTATTGGAGATACGTTGTTAGAAACGTTGGAAAAATTCTGCGAAAGTAGTATTACCTGTATTAAATTCTACACACGTCGAGTTGTCACGGGGAAATAGTTACGACATTTCTACACTTTAGAGTTTGTACGCTGAGAATTTTCGAAATTTTCTCTGCGTGGAGAAACTAATAATTGCCATATTAAAAATTATAGAAATTATATTTCGAAACAACCCCTTTTCCCACAAAATTTATTCCAATTATACACGAATCCAATAAGTCCTTTAACAATCGTGTGCATGCACACATAATATCGAGATTGAAATCACGATGAAAGCAGAGTCAAAGATCGACGAGATTCAACCTGCGATCTCATTTCCACTAGCAGGTTAACTGCTTTGCTTTTTCAGCAAAGGAACGATCGAACCTCCATCTTGGCTGATACCAGAATGTCATCACAATTCGGATGAAAGATAGCTTGACTGAACATATTTGTGCATGGATCATTATAATGTGGCTTATTCCACGTTCTCTTGTGTAGAAACTGATTCTGATTCTTCGAACTCGATGTCCCATTTGATGAAAAGATTTTTTATAGTATCTTAAAAGAGAATTCATTTTGAACACAAATATTATTGATTTTAATGAAAAGAAATGTTTATTTTAATGTTATGCAAATTATAAAAGATAGTGATGGCGAAACAAGTAGTGCAAGCTAATCATTCGTCGTACGAGTAGAAGAATAGTTATGACGATTCATTCGAGCAAGTTGCGAATCGATTACGAGATAAAATAAGATGATCAAACAAATAGAACAAGAAGGGTACAAAATAACGCGAGTCGGACAAGTGAAATAAGACAATAATAATCAGACGAGTGACGTAGGTCGATCATTTCACCGATGCAAGTAGAATGTACGTATAATTACGGATACTTAGAGTTAATAGGGATAAGAAAGAAATAACTCTCACGATTATATATATATAGTTAAAATGAACGTATAGATTTATTTTATACAGAAGAGGCGAAACAAATAATAACGAAGTGATGAGAATTTATTTCAAATTCGACTGGAACACGTGTCTACACCTATCTGGCCGTGTTAACAATGATAAAACGAGATCGGGGCAGAGCAAAACGTTATCAATCACACTCCATTACGGACTGGCTACATCCGAGCACTTTTATCGCAATCCCGTCCTCGAAACGGAGTTTCTCTCTTCTCGAAACGAGCCGAGAGAAGATTCGATAAATCCTTCGTAATTTTCTTATTTCAACTCGATAAAGCTACGAAAGTGTCGATTTGAATTTTCCCTCCATTCTCGATTATCATTCGTCGAGATCATTGATTCGAGAAAATTATCTGATTTCAAAAAAAAAAAAATAAATAAATAATCGCTCAATCGTATCGTCGTTTGATAACAATTTTACAAAATTTTCAAATTATCGATCGATCGGATTTATTAAATTAAATATTATATAATAATTTTGATAAAAATATCGAATTTATAAATTCGGTAAAAAATTTTGTTTTGATCGTTATTAATCTTTCGTTTTTTGATGAAAAATATTAATCCACGATTATTCATCGTTCCAACAATTTGACGTAAATATCGAAGCTTTTGCGGATCGTAGTATAATCGCATATTAATTTTTTTTTTTTTGTAATGAAACATTAAACATTTTAATCGTCACATCGATCGAATAAAAATTGAATCGCATTTAATAATCGCTTAATCGCATTAAATATCAACGATAAAATATTTTTCAACGTTCTTGCCAATTGTTTTTTATCCAAGAGCAAGAAAACTGAGTAGGCTCGTTTCTCATAGCCAATTTCTCGTAAACACTCGTTCATTAACGAGATAAATATTCGAAAGGATCGGCATTATCCCGTCCACGGATTAACGAATCCGCTTAAACAATTAGCGATTATTCTACGTTACGTTTACAAAATTAATTTGTATCACTTTTATCAAAAACCTGGCGAATTTCAAAATTCCCTAATAAATCCATCGAAGAAGAATCCTTTTAATACCCAGTTAACGACAAGATAATTGTCCAAATTGAACGTATTCCAACGTTTAAATTAAAAAGTTCCCTGATTTTCCAAAGATCAAAGAATAAGACCAATCATAAGATCTTTTGTCGAATTGGAGATTCTTAAGAAATCTTTAATCTAAATTTAATCTTAATCTTATTTAATAATCTTAATAATCTAAATTTCCAGGATGCGTTCGTTTACAACCCCTGAAATCCTGGGACCAGTGAGTCGGAAGGAAGGAAGATAAAATCCCTATTAGATCGAAACGATGCGATTAACAACGTCGATCTGGTCGACGTTTCAAAAATTTCATCCTCGAGATGCTCGAAAAATGAATATAAAAATGTTTCGAGAATGTGTGACGCAAGAAATTGACAGAAGAATAAACCAATAATTCACCGATCATCGGCAAGTGAATTTTTCCAACAAACGAGTTAAACAATTATTTTTTCTCTTCATAATTTCGCAAGAAGCATGAAACTGACTACCTAATTATTCTATTCGAGAAGAAATGTAGTTTAAAAGAAGAAAAAAATCTGGAGCAAGGAAACGTCATACTCTCACCTCCTCGATTTCGTCCTTTTTGCATGCCAGAATCACGCCATAGAAAATCAAAGTTCGATTGCCTCGCGCGAGTCGACTTCACCTTCTCTCGTCACACAGGCCGAGTTCAGAATTATCGTGCGCGCTACATCGACGACGACGACGATTCCAGTTGTGCCAGTTAGGACAATTTAGATCCAGCCGAGCGATAAATGGCGGCCGATTGAATAACGCGTTGATTAAACGCGATCTCATTTCTGATAATACCGCCTTTCACCGCCCCCTAAACTTCTTCCAACCTCGAATTTTCCCCCAGCGGATAAACGAAGGAGGAATTCGAAGGAAGATCTTTGTCCTTTGGATTAATCGGGATTTCTTTGGCCAATTTGGTCGAAGGATCTTATCGCTCAATTTGAGAAATCGATCGATATTTTTAACACGCGCGATGAAGAAATCCCTCCCCTTCGAGAAAATAATTGAAATTTATGAATTTTTATCAACCGATAGAAATTATCAAAAATCTTTAAAAAAAATTCGCGCTTTTTTCGCGCACAAGGATATTAAATTCTCGTTAGATCGAGATTTTAATATCAAACTAAAAGTATCGAGTTTCCATTGTGTATAATTAAATGATCCAAAGAAATATTTTCTTCCATCGAATAGATCGAACAGGTATAAAAAATATAAAAAATAAAAAAACGTATAAAAAATAAAAAAAATAAAAAAAAGGTTTGGATATCGTTTCACTCACGGTGTCCACGCGGTGGAGATTCGCCGGTGATGGAGGCTATGCGTGGCGCGTCCTCGCTGATCTCGATCTCAGCGGACTCCCTGTACACGTCCGCGATGAAGGCCGTGCACTGCAACATCAACCTCCCGTTTCGAAACATGTCGTTCGTCACCTTGAAGTCTATCGTCGACTTGGACACCTGAGAATCGTCGTCCTGAGGTATGGCGAAGTACCTTGTCCTGTATACCAAGCTGTCGTTCGCGATCTGCAAAAATTCAAAAGAAATCGTTAGATTGGTGCAACAGGTTTTTCACCGATCCATCCTTCGAGTTCGATTGAAATTCACATAAATTAAATTCGAGCTTGTTCGAATTGAATCGGAGCAGAAGGAGAAATTATTCTCCTGGAAACATTTTTCAAACGCGGAAGATTTAATTAGAAAATTACTTTCGTTTACGAGGGGGCGAGGGATGTTTAACAATGCAAGAAAATAAGCGGTGCACGCGTCAAATAAATATTTAGCGGGTTGAAAATGAAACAGATTAATTCTGAAGCTCCCGTGTATACATCAAGCAAGGTGTACACGGTGTGTACAAGGCATGAAGCACGAATTATTATGCCACGGTTCACGCCACCACCACCACCACCACTGTTGGAGAAGGGCGTCGCCGTCGTTGGAGAGGGATGATTCCGTGCTTGGAAAGTATATTCTATATTTTTGCGCGAAATTGCCGAGTTGGGAAAGGCGCGTGGACAGTTTTAATGCCGTGCAACCAGGCTTTGACTTCTCAAAGTGGAAATTTCTCGGGCGAAGTTCGAGGGAAAATTTTCTCCACACGAAATTGGAAATAATGTTGATTGAAATAATATTCACTCTTAAATAATATTATGTCGTTATTATGTATACATTGTTGGTAGAATAATTACTTTAATAGAATAAGACAATTAATAATTGGACGAGTTGAATTGGACAGGCTCTTAAAATCGTAGAATAGTAGAATAAAATAGGTCAAACAGATTAGTCAGACAAGTAGTACAAGTCAATTATTTATCACGAAAGAGGAACAAAATGAAAAAATAAAACAGTTATGCAATCGAGCAAGCAAACTAAAATTAATTAATTATACTTTTGTATTGTTGAAGAAAATATATGATGCTCTTCACACTAAAGAAAATTAAAGTACCAATCAATCTGAATATGAATAGATATCAAACAAACTAGTGAAATAACACAGAATTAGAAAATTACTATGAGTCAATTATTTGTCACGAAAATGGACAAAATAATGAAAGAATAAAACAGTCGTGCAATCGAGCAAGCAAACTAAAATTAATTAATTATACTTTTGTATTGTTGAAGAAAATATATGATGCTCTTCACACTAAAGAAAATTAAAGTACCAATCAATCTGAATATGAATAGATATCAAACAAACTACTGAAATAACACAAAATTAGAAAATTACTACGAGTAATCAATTATTTGTCACGAAAATGGAACAAACAATGGAACAACGAAACAAAATACGTTCCAATAATTTGAATACCGGTTCAAGTTCTTTTTTAAATCGACTTGAACCAATCTTTCATCACAGGAAATATAACCCTTCCAAAAGACCAAACCAACTCTTCCATCACTTCAACACTTCAATCTCGAAACATCCCACCATCTCACGGTATACAGATACTATTACCAGTTATATTATTACATTATTATCCCTGTCCTTTTAACTGTCTCCCTCGACAAATATCAGCATCGATCGTTCCCTCCCCCCACCTCGCTCCAATGCATCCCATCTTGCTTGCCATCGAACATTCTTCTCGTCCAAGAGACGCAGAGACGAATCTCCTTCGCCCTTTCCCAAAGATGATATTAGATCGGGATCTCGTCGCTCTTGAAGGGCGAATGAACGAAGAAAAGAGAGTCCTCTCCTCCACTCCTCCTATCCTTTTCTCTTCCTCTTCTGTGTTCATCTACATCTTCCACCCCTTTCCCCTACTTTCCCTTTCTTGGATAAGGAAGGAGATGGCACAAGGGTCGCTCGAGGTTATTACTTCGGGGAACAAACGAGGGGGGTTGTGTGCATTAAGACGACTACACGGGGACTACACGGGGCCGCTGTTCATAAAACATAATGCATAAAGCTTGTGCTTTGTCGCGTGCACACCTCCCCCCCTCGCCCCTGCGTGGATTTGTCGCCGGGCGATCCCAGCCACCGCCGACTTCCACCCCCTCCCTCTTCTAAAGATATATCGATGTCGTGGAGCGAACAGGCTACGTAGTCGCTGATTTTTATTAAGATCGAGCGGGAGTCGGTTGACAGTCGATGGTTAATGGCGATGGAGGACGACGGTTGGAGAAGATGGAGGATTCTAAGGTAAGACGATGGATGTGGATCTTCTTCCGTGCAACGTTTCACGAGGTTGAAGTGGCGGGGATAAGAAGGATAAAGATCGAGATGTGGGTGTTGCTGCGAGTTTTTTAATCGTTAAACTCGATTATTAAATCTGATTAAATATTAGAAAATGTTGGGAGATAATAATTTTGGAACATTGCTCTTCGAAATGCATTTTTATTTATCACGATACGAGTTTTAGTTTTCGGATTATTCCGTCGTGTAAATAAAATAATATATAAATTTAATATAATATACTAATGTTATATTAGTATATAATATAAATATATAATATAAATAAACTAATATAAAATAATTTTTAAACTCGATTAAACTCTATTAAAATTAGCGAAACTTTGAACCGCTATAACTCCGAGGATAATGATTTCCAGTCGACGAGTGAACGATCATCGGAAGCGGGGGATATTGCTGTTTAAAATGATTTTTTATTCATCTCGATACGACTTCCGGTTACCGAGATATCGTCGTGTAAAGAAAAGGGTAATTTTTAACTATCTTATCTAGACAAATGACGATAAAAAAGATATGCGTTATATTGGGTCCTAGGTCCCAATTTTATAGAAACTTTAAATTATTGTATCTCGATAACGGATCGAGATATCGAGACGAAACAAAAACTACACTTCAATAGTGTTGCTTTCTCTATTTTCCAAGTGGGTTTTGACGATAAAATTTTAATTTCCTCTTACACTTGCTACACCACAAAAATTGATATTGATATTTAATTTCAAGCGGTCATGTTCTTCTAAAGACTTTTATTCCACGCTTCAAAAGAATATGGATTTATTCGACAGACATTAAATGAATCTCCACTTTGGACAAGGTCTTCGATTAACTGAAATCAGAGCAATCTAAACCAACTCCATCTCTCCCACTTTCCAAAGGAAAATAGACAGTGATCAAGACCTGTGCGGTCTTGCTTCTCGTTAAATTCCTTTGAAATATAATTAATTCGAATTTTCGTCAACCGATTATCGATCATGGATTAATCGAAACTCGTCGAGCACGCTGAATTTCTTCCTGAAGTTTTCGAATACATCATCTTCGACCGAGAGAAACACGGTTTACCGCAATTCGTCAAATTCCTTAGACTTTATGACCGTTTCGAGTCCCTCCCTTCCGGAATTCCGTTGTAAATTCACCGAGTTTTATCGTTTCCTCGGAATTCCACGCCATTCTCGTTCATCTTATCTGCGCCCGTGTGTCGCTTTTCATACGAGATTCCAACCGCGGATCTTTCCCCTTCTCCCCCTAGAATCTAGGTCACGTTCTTCTCCACGGAAGGAAGGATGGAAGGAGGCGGAAGCTGGATGGATCTTGTTGCTTCGCCTCCTTGAAATCTTTTCACATTTGGCAATTAGGGTCTTCGAGTGGATAAGAGAACGGATGAAAAGTTTTGAAGGGGTTGATCTTCGGTCGGGGAGCACGATTTTGAAAATGTTGCACCACTTGTAGGTTATGTATACCTATGTATATACATGTACTCGTTTTTCAAAGTTTCATCACAGTTGATGCAACAGTGTACTGTTAAAAAAAATTACAGAGTGAATAATTTTCGATTGAAACGAGAATGGAAAAAATTGGAAATTTACAATTTGAAAACTCGCCTATAACAACGATATTTTAGATTATAGTATTAATAATTTTATATTATTCTTCGAAATACCAAACACTTGATGCAACAGTGTACTGCTAAAAAAAATTACGAGATTTCAAAGCGAGCAACTTTGGATTGAAACGAGAATGGAAAAAATTGGAAATTTACAATTTGAAAACTCGCCTATAACAATGGTATTTTAGATTATAGTGTCAATAATTTTGTATTATTCTTCGAAATACCAAATACTTGATGCAATACTAAAAAAAACTTTGGATTGAAATGAGAATGAGATCAGAATGAAAAAAATTGGAAATTTACAATTTGAAAACTCGTCTATAACAACGATATTTTAGATTATAATATTAATAATTTTATATTATTCTTCGAAATACCAAACACTTGATGCAACAGTGTACTGCTAAAAAAAATTACGAGATTTCAAAGCGAGCAACTTTGGATTGAAACGAGAATGGAAAAATTTGGAAAATTTACAATTTGAAAACTCGCCTATAACAACGATATTTTAGATTATAGTGTCAATAATTTTATATTATTCTTCGAAATACCAAACACTTGATGCAACAGTATATTGCTAAAAAAAACTTTGAATTGAAATGAGAATGAGATCAGAATGAAAAAAATTGGAAATTTACAATTTGAAAACTCGCCTATAAGAACAATATTTTAGATTATATTGTCAATAATTTTGTATTATTCTTCGAAATACCAAACACTCGATGCAACAGTGTACTGCTAAAAAAAATTACGAGATTTCAGAGCGAGCAATTTTGGATTGAAACGAGAATGGAAAAATTTGGAAAATTTACAATTTGAAAACTCGCCTATAACAACGATAATTTAGATTATACTGTCAATAATTTTGTATTATTCTTCGAAATACCAAACATTCGATGCAATAGTGTACTACTAAAAAAAACTTTGGATTGAAATGAGAATAGGATCAGAATGAAAAAAATTGGAAATTTGAAAACTCGCCTATAACAACGATATTTTAGATTATAATGTCAATAATTTTGTATTATTCTTCGAAATTGTAATACCAAAGAATGAAAATTTTAATTTTTATATCCTATAAACTACGTAATTTAATTTTAATACAAAAATACGAAATATTGATGAAAAGTTTCCCCTTGAATAACTATTATTTAAGATAAAAGTTAACAGTTCCATTCAGATCCCCGATCACACAGGATTTATCCGGATTGTCGCATTCAGGGGGGGATCGTG